ACCTCACAGTGCTCTTGACACTGTTCGACCTCTTCTCAGGTTTGGCCGTCATGGTTCAGATGAAATGGGGGGGCCATTTTAAGGTCCAACGTTACCAAAAAAGGGTCACCCTCCTCAAAAAATGAGAGGAAATTAACAAAATCATTTGCAAAAAATACGGCACCGGGAATCCCAGGCGGTCACACCATCCAAGTACTAAACCCGGCCTCAGTTGCTTAACTCCCAGAATCGAACGAGATTGGGTGTATTCAACCGAGTATGGGCCGTATCCGAAAGTTATGAAATTACGGCCACTACATTTAATAATTAATTTCCTCAGTTCCTGCAAATATTAGTTTTAATGGCTGGCGATTAGCAACTTTGATTGTAACAACATAGCTGGCTACTATTTTTGGTTGTGATCACAAAACCATGCTAAGAGACATGACTCGGAGCTGGCTGTCGGTATACAAAACCGGGAGCTTCTGTTTATCTTTATTTTGCATCGTTTTATTAGAGCCCTCCCATGTGGAAGGCCTTACCAAAAGAAATGTGAAGACTGGTTCTCCGAGAGAACCAGTTACACATTGAAACAATAATCTTTACCTCAAATTAATTTGTATAATAGTATGTATTGAAATAATTAAAACTGCCAATGAGTGGTCCCAGGGCCTCCTTATATGTCAACCTAGCTCCTTTCCTTGCTCGGATACAGTAGAATATTTCTGTGCTAAACCCTCCAGAGTCGGCAATGTACTGAGACACGTGAGGTCACAAGATAGCATTGATTATAACGCCAAAGTGGTCACCTGACCATCTCATGTTGCCATAAATGGCTTGTCCCATTATAGCCACCTTAAAAGGGATGTAATTGGACGGTTTGGAGAATGAAGCCTCGATGCTGCACACACTACCTCCCAGTGCTCTTGAACACTTTTCCGACCTCATCTCAGGTTTTGCCGGCCATTCAGATGAAATGGGGGGCCAATTAAGGGGTCACGTTACCAAAAAAGGTCACCCTCTCAAAAAAATGAGGAAATTAACAAATCATTTGCAAAAGGATAGCGGCACCCGGAATTCCATGCGGTCACCCAACCAAGTACTAACCCGCCTGCAGATTGCTTAACTCCCAGATCGAACAGATGGGGTGTATCAACCGAGTAATGGCCGTACCGAAAGTTATAAATTACGGGCCACTACATTAATAAAATAATTCCCTCAGTTTCCAGCAAATATTAGTTTTATGGCTGGCGATTAGCACATTGATGTAACACCATTGCTGGCCTACTATTTTGGTTTGATCACAAAACCAAGCTAAGAGGACAAGCCCTTCGGAGCTGGCTGTCGGGATACAATACCGGGAGCTCTGTTTTATCTTTATTATTGCACATCGTTAATAGAGCCTCCCATGTGGTAGGCTTACCAAAAGATGAGAAGTCTGGGTCCCGGAGAGAACAGTTACACATGGAACTGTGAATCTTAACCATCAAATTATTTGTTAAATAGTAGTGATGAAAGTATTAAAACTGCCCATTGAGTGGTCCCAGCCTACTTATATGTCAACCTAGCTCTTTCCTTGCTCGATCTGTAGAATATTCTTGCTACCCCTCCAAGCGCAATAATGAGACACGTAGGTCACAAGATTAGCAAGAATTTAAACGCCAAAGTTAGGTCACTACTGACCATCTCATGATGCCCATAATGTGCTTTCCCCATTAGCCACCTTAAAAGGGATGTAATATGGACGTGTTGTAGATGCAGCTCGATGCAGCCACACACTACATCAACAGTGCTCTTGACACTGTTTCCGACCCATTCTCAGTTGAGGGCCGGCAATCAGAATGAAAAGGGGGGCCATTTTAGGGGTCACGTTACCCAAAAAAGGGTCACCCTCTCACAAAATGAGGAAATTAACAAATCATTTGCAAAAGGATAACGGCACCGGGAATTCCAGGCGGTCACCCTCCAAGTACTAACCCGGCCTGCAGTTGCTTAACCTTTTCCCAGATCGAATCGAGATGGGGTGTAATTCAACCGATAGGCCGTATCCGAAATTTTTGAAAATTACGGCCATACATATAATAATAATTCCGCAGTTTCCAGCAAAATATTAGTTTTATGGCTGGCGATTAGCACTTTGATTGTTAACCAACATTGCTGGCTACTTTTGGTTGTGATCAAACACAACCATGCTAAGAGGACATGACTCGGAGCTGGCTGTCGGATACAAATACCGGAAAAGGGGCCCCCCACCTTGTTATCTTTAATATTGCATCGTTTATTAGAGCCCTCCTACTGTGGAAGGCTAACCAAAAGATGTGAAGTTCTGGTCTCCGGAGAGAACCATTACACATTGGAACTTAATGCTTACCTCAAATTATTTGTTAATATAAGTCGTGTTTGAAAGTATTAAAACTGCCCATTGAGTGTCCGCAGGCCTGAGACCTTATATGTCCAACCTAGCTCTTTCCTTGCTCGGATACGTAAGAATATTTTCCCCATTTCCTTGCTACCCTCCAGAGCGGCAAGTACTAGTACACGGTTGAGGTCACAAGATAGCAAGATTTAAACGCCAAAGTGGTCCACCGACCATCTCATGTTGCCCAAAATGGATTTCACCATTAGCCACCATAAAGGGATGTAATTGGACGTGTTGGAGATGCAGCTCGATGCTGCAAACACACTACATACACAGTGCTCTTGACACTGTTCCGACCTCATCTCAGGTTTAGGCCGGCCAATCCATGAAAATGGGGGGGCCAATTTAGGGGTCAACGTACCCAAAAAAGGTCCACCCTCTCCAAAAAAAAGAGGAAATTAACAATCATTTGCAAAAGGGATACGGCACCGGGAATACCATCGGCGGTCACCCATCCAATACAAACCCGGCCTGCAGTCTTAACATCCCAGATCGAACGGATGGGGTAGTATTCAACCGAGTATGGCCGTGATCCGAATTAAGAATTACGGCCCCTACATTTAATAATTAATTCCTCAGTTCCTGCAAATATTATTTTATGGCTGGCTGAGTAGCACTTTGATTTGTAACAACATTGCTGGCTTACTTTTAGTTGTGATCACAAAACCAATGCTAAAGGACATTGACTCAGAGCTGTGCTGTCGGGATACAAAACCGGAGCTCTGTTTATCTTTAAGAATGCTTCGATTATTAGAGCCCTCCTTGTGAGAGGCTTACCAATAAATGTGAAGTCAGGTCTCCTGGATGAGAACCTGTTACACATTTGGAACTTGAAATCTTACCTCAAATTATATTTATATAGTAGTGTTTAAAGTATTAAAACTGCCCATTGAGTGGGCCAGGCCTACTTATATGTCAACCTAGCCTCTTTCCGTTGCTTCGGATCTGTAGAATCTTTCCTTGCTATCCCTCCAGAGTCGCAAGTAATGAGACACGTGAGGGTCACAAAGAAAGCATGAATTAACGCCCAAAGAGGACACGCTGCCATCTCATGTTGCCCAAATGGCTTTCCCCATTAGCCACCTAAAAGGGCTGTAATTGGACGTGTAGGAGATGCAGCTCGAAGCTGCACACAACTACATCCCAGTGAGCTCTTGACACTGGTCCGGACCTCATCTCAGTTTGGCCGGCCATTCAGAAGAAATGGTGGGCCATTTTTAGGGGTTCACGTTTACCCAAAAAAAGGGTCACCCTCGCCAACAATGGGAAATTAACAATCATTTGCAAAAGGTACGGCAACCGGGAATTCCCCAGGCGGTCACCCATCCAAGTACTAACCCGGCCTGCAGTTGCTTACCTTCCCAGATCGAACGGATGGGGTGTATATCAACCGAGTATGGCGTACCGAAAGTTAAGAAATTTACGTACGGCACTACATTTAATAATAAATTCCTCATTCCTGCAAATATAGTTTATGGCTGGCGATTTGGGGGCACTTTGATTGTAACAACATTGCTGGCTACTTTGTTGGTGATCACAAAACCATGCTAAGAGGACATGACTCGGAGCTGGCTGTACGGGATACAATACCGGGAGCTCTGTTTAATCTTATATTATTGCATCGTTTATTAGAGCCCTCCTTGGGAAGGCTTACCAAAAGATGTGAAGTCTGGTCCCGGAGATAACCAGTTACACATTGGAACTAACCTTACCTCAAATTTATTTTTCTATAGTAAGTGTTGAAATTATAAAACTGCCAACATTGAGTGGTCCCAGGCCTACATTTTTTTATTTTATATATTCAACCTAGCTCTTTCCTTGCTCGATCAAGTAAGAATATTTCCTTGCTACCCTCCAGAGCGGGAGCGGGGCCAGTAATGAGACACGTGAGGTACAAGATAGCATGATTTTAACCCGCCAAATGGTCACCTGAACCATTCTCATGTGCCCAATAAATGGCTTTTCACAATAGCCACCTAAAAGGATGTAATTGGACGTGTTTGGAGATGCAGCTCGATGCTGACAACACTACATCACAGTGCACTTGACACTGATCCGACACCTCTCTCCTCAGGTTTGGCCGGCCAATCAGATGAATGGGGGGCCATTTAGGGTCACGTTACCCAAACAACGGGTCACCCTCTCAAAAATAGGGAATACAAATCTTTGACAAAGATACGGCCCCAGGGAATTCCCAGCGGTCACCCCCATCCAATACTAACCCGGCCTGCAGGTTGGCTTTAACTTCTCCCAGATCGAACGAGAATGGGGTGATATTCAACCGAGTATGGCGAATCCGAAAGTTAATGAAATTACGGCCACAAACATTTAATAATTAATTCCTCAGTTTCCTGCAAATATTAGTTTTATGGCTTGGGATTAGCACTTTGATTGTAACAACTTTGCTGGCTAATTATTGGATGTGATCACAAAACCATGCTAAGAGGGACATGGAACTCGGAGCGGGCTGTCGATACAATACCGGAGCTTCTGTTTATCTTTATTATGCATCGTTTATTAGAGCCCTCCTTGTGAAGGCATACCAAAAGATGTGAAGCCTGGGCTCCCGGAGAGACCAGTTAACACATGCACTTAATCTTACCTCAAAATATTTGTTATATAAGTAGTGTTGAAAAGTATAAAAAACTGCCCATAATGAGTGTCCCAGGCCTACTTATAGTTCAACCTAGCTCTTACCTTGCTCGGATCCAGTAGAAATATTTCTTGCTACCCACCAGAGCCGGCAAGTAATGATACACGTGAGGTCACAAGTATTAGCATGCTTTAACGCCAAAGTGGTCCACCTGACCATCTCATGTCGCCCCCATAATGGCTTTCCCATTACCACCTTAAAAAGGGACATAGTAAATTGGACGTGTTGGAGATGCAGCTCGATGCTGCACACAACTACATTACAGTGCGCTTCTTGACACTGTTCCGAAACCTCTTCTCAGGAATGGGCCGGCCATTCAGATGAAAGATGAGGGGGCAATTAGGGTCACGTTACCCCAAATAAGTTGTGAGGCGCCGGGGGCGCAGCGTGGGACGGCCGGGGAGCCGGGGGCGCAGGGTCAGGAAAGTCAAACAATCCAAGTGCATAAAGACTTACGGCCCACCCGGAAATTCCACAGGCGGTCAACCATCCCAAGAGACCTAACCGGCCTGCTGTTGCATAACTTCCAAGATCGAACGAGATGGGGTATATTCAACCGAGTAATGGTCGTTTCCGAAGTTATGAAATTAACGGCCCACTACATATTATAAAATTAATTTCCTCAGTTCCTGCAAACATATTAGTTTTAATGGCTGGCGTTAGCACTTTGATTGTAACAAAATTGCTGGCTTACTTTTTGGTTTTGACCAAACCTGCTAAGTAGACATGAACTCGGAGCTGCTGTCCGGGAATTACAACACGGAGTCTGTTTTTATAATCTTAATTATTGCAGATCGTTTATAGAGCCCTCCATGTGGAAGTGCTTACCCCAAAAGATTTGAAGTCGGGTCTCCGAGAAGGAACCAGTTACACAGTGGAACTTATCTTACCCTACAAATTATATGTTTATATAGTAGTGTTTGAAGTATAAAACTGCCCATATGAGTTGGTCCCAGCCTACATATATGTCAACCTAGCTCTTCCTTCTCGATCTGAGAATATTTCCTTGCTACCCTCCAAGCTGTCAAGTAATGAGAACACGTCGGTCACAAAGATAGCATGATTAACGCCAAAGTGGTCACCTGACCATCTCAATGTTGCCCATAATGGCTTCCCATTAGCCACCTTAAAAGGGAATGTAATTGGGAACGTGTATGGAGAGCAGCTCGGACTCACACACATACATCACAAGCTCTTGACACTGTTCCGACCTCTTCTCAGTTTTGCCGGCAATTCAGATGACTTGGGGGGGCCATTTTGGGGTCAACGTTACCCACAAAAAGGTCACCCTCTCAAAAAATGAGGAAATTAACAAATCATTTGCAAAAAGGATACGCGGCACCCGGGAATTCCCAGGGCGGTCCCACCCCATCCACTACTAACATTTCTAACCCGGCCTGCAGTTGCCTTAACTTCCCAGATCGAACGAGGATGGGGGAGGTATTCAACCGAGTATGGCCGTATCCGAAAGCTATGAAATTATCGGCCACTACATTTAATAATTTAATTCCTCATTGTTCCTGCAAATATTAGTTTTAATGGCCTGGCGGATTACACTTTGATTGGTAAACAACATTGCAGTGGCTACATTTTTGGTTGTGATCCAACAAAACCATGCTAAAGGACCATGACTCGGACTGGCTGTCGGGATACATACCGGAGAGCTCTTTTATTCTTTATTATTGCATCGTTTATTAGAGCCCCGCCTTGTGGAAGGCTTACAACAAAGATGGGTGACTTTCTTGTCTCCGAGAGAACCAGTTACACATTGGAACTTAATCTTACCTCAATTATTTGTATATAATAAGTAAGTGTTTGAAAGTAATAAAACTGCCCAATTGAAGTGTCCGAGGCCTACTTATATGTCAACCTAGCTCTTTCCAGCTCGATCTGTAAATATTTCCCCTTGCTAGCCCTCCAGAGCGGCAAGTAATGACCCCGGGAGGTCACAAGAAAGCATGATTTAACGCCAAAGTGGTCACCTGACATCTGATTTTGCCCAAATGGCTTTCCCATTAGCCCACCTTAAAAGTGATGTAATTGGAAACGTGTTGGAGATGCACGCTCGATCTGCACACACTACCTCACAGCTCTTGACCGTTACCGACCTCTTCTCAGGATTGGGGCCCGCCATATCAGATGAAATGGGGGGGGGTGCCAATTTTAGGTGGTCCCAGTTACCCAAAAAAAGGGTCTCCCCTCAAAAAAAGATGAGGAAATTAACAATCATTTGCAAAGGATACGCACCGGGAATTTCCCAGCGGTCACCCATCCATACAAACCCGGCCTGCAGTTGCTTAATCCCAGATACGAAAACGAGATGGGTGTAGTTCAACCGAGTAGGGCCGATCCGAAAGTTATGAGAATACGGCCACTACATTTAATAATTAATTCCACAGTTCCTGCAAATTAATAGTTTTATGGCAGGCGATTAAGCACTTTGATTGTAACAACATTGCTGGCTACTTTTTGGTTGTGATACACAAAACCATGCTAAGAGGACATGACTCGGAGCTGGCTGTCGGGATACAAATACCGGGAGCTCTGGTTTATCTTATATTATAGCAACGTAAATTTAAGCCCCATTGGTGGAAGGCTTAACCATAAGATGTAAGTCCTGGTCTCCGGGAGAACCAGTTTACACATTGGAACTTAATCTTACCTCAAATTATTTGTTATATAGTTATGTTGAAAAAGTATATAAAACTGGCCCATTGATGTTCCCAGGCCAACTTATATGTCTACCTAGCTCTACTGCTCGGATCGTAGAATATTTCCTGCTACCCTCCCACAGAGCGCAAGTAATGAGACCGTGAGGTCACAAGATAGCATGATTTAACGCCAAGTGTCACCTGACCATCACATGTTTGCCCAGTAATGGGGCTTTCCCATTAGCCACCTTACAAGGTGATGTAATGACGTGGTTTGGAGATGCCAGCACGATGCTGCACACACTACACCACAGTGCTCTTGACACCGTCCGACCTCTTACTCAGAGGTTTGAGCCGGACATTCAATGAAATGGGGTGGGGTCCAATTAGGGCACGTTACCCAAAAAAGGGTCACCCTCTCAAAAAATGAGAAATTTAAACAAAATCATTTTGCAAAAGGAGTACGGCAGACCGGAATTCCAGGCGGTGCACCCCTCCAAGTACTAACCCTGCCCTGCAGTTGCTTACCTTCCCCAGAGTCGAACGAGATGGGTGTGTATTCAACCGAGTATGGCCGATCCGAAAGTTAGAAATTACGAGCCACTACAATTAAAATAATTACTTTCCTCAGTTCCCCTGCAAATAATAGTTTTATGGCTGTCGATTAAGCACTTTGATTGTTACAACAACATTGCTGGCTACTTTATGGTTGTGATCACAAAACCAAAGCTAAGAGACATGACCGGAGCTGGCTTGTCGGGATACAAAACCGGGATCGGTTTATCCTTTGATTATTGCAATCGTTTATTATGAGCCCTTCCATGTGGAAGGCTTACCAAAAAGATGTTGAAGTCTTGGTCGCCGGAGAGAACCATTTACACATTGGAACTAATCTTTAAACCTCAAATATTTGTTATATATAGGTGTTGAAAGAATTAAAACTGCCCATTGAGTGTCCCAGGCCTACTTATAAGTTCAACCTAGCTCTTTCCTTCTCGATCTGTAGATATTTCCTTGCTACCCACCAGAGCGTCGAAGTAATGGCGACACGTGAGGTCACAAGATAGCATGATTTAACGGCCAAAGTGGTCACCTGACCAACTCATGTGCCCATAATGGCTATTCCAATAGCCACCTTAAAAGGGATGGTAATTGGACGTGTTGGAGATGCCTCTCGATGCTGCACACACTACATCCACAGTGCTGCTTAGACACTGTTTCCGGACCATCTTCTCAGGTTTGGCCGGCCATTCAATGAAACTGGGGGGACTTTTAAGGGTTCACGTTACCCAAAAAAGGGTCACCCTCATCCAAAAAATGAGGGAAATTAACAAATCATTTGCAAAAGGATACGCACCGAATTCCCTAGCGGTCACCCATCCAAGTACTAACCCGCCTGCAGTGTGCTTAACTTCCAAACGAACGATGATGGGGGTATTCACCGAGTAAGGCCGATCCGAAAGTTATGAAATACGGCCACACATTTAATAATTAAGTTCCTCCTTCCTGCAAATATTAGTTTTAACGGCTTGCGATTAGCAAACTTGAATGTAACAACATATGGGCTGGCATACTTTATGGTTGGTGCCACAAAGCCATGCTAAGGAAGACATGACTCGAGCTGGCTGTCGGGATGACAATACCAGGAGCTTCTGTTTAGTCGTTATATTGCATCTTTATTAGAGCCCTCCTTGTGAAGGCTTACCAAAAGATGTCAGTCTGGTCACCGAGAGAACCAGTTTTACACACATTGAACTAAATCCTTACCACAAATTAAATGATATATCTTCGTGTTGAAGTATATACAAACTGCCCATAGAGGTAGGTCCCATTGCCTACTTATATGTCACCCTCAGCTCTTTCCTTGCTCGATCTGTAGCATATTTCCTTGCAACCCACCAGAGCTGCAAGTAAATGAGAACACGTGAGGTCACAAAATAGCATGAATAAAACGCCAAAGGTGGTCACCTGACCATCATCATAGTTGCCATAATGCCTTCCCATAAGCCACCTTTAAAAGGGATGTCATTGGACGTGTTGGGGAAGCAGCTCGAGTGCTGCCCACACAACCAACACAGTGCTCTTGACACGTTCCGACCTCTTCACAGGTTTGGCCGGCCATTCAGATGAAACAGGGGGGGGCCATTTTAGGGGTCACGTTACGCCAAAAAAGGGTGACCCCTCCAAAAATAGGAAAAAACAACTCAAGTTAGTTCAAAAGATACGGACCCCCATGCGGGGAATTCCCAGCGGTCACCCATTCCAATGTACTAACCCGTCCTGCAGTTGCTTAACTCCCAGATTCTAAACGAGATGGGTGTATTCAACGATATGGCCGTAA